TGGCAAATTTTGGCACTTTTTTATCCTCAATATGGCACTTAATAGCTCAGCATAGCTGGCAGCCATGTTTGCAGTACGGAAAACGAACTTTTGGAAATATCTTTAATGACGTTTGTCTAAAATGTCATGGGAAACAAAGAATTCGCGAAAGCATTTGTTTTTGCATGTAAAACGTTGCCATATCACCTGATTTACATGATTCAAGTACTTGAAAGCAATTCTTGCTCATTCTCTTTTGTGTTTTTTATTTGCTTTTACACGTTTCAATTCTGTTGAATTCAAGTCTTTGGTTCTTTAAATGGGAAGCAACGAAAATGCCAAAAGCAAAGCAAGAAAGTTGAAACGACTTGACGGTACAGACGCATGCATGAACGAAAGACACAAGATCACGCCTTAAGGAAAGAAAGAATAAAGTTATTTTCTAGCTGTTGAAATCTCGACGCCATCTTTGTTGTAAGAAGTAAACAACGCAGAGAACAAAAAAAAAACGCGTAATTGTTGAACGCTTGAATAATCATTTTTATTATGCAAATTCTCCTATAAATCATGTCGTTGTGTTAAATTATTCTTTACCTTATGTGTGCACACGTTGTCACAAGCGAAAATTAAGAAAATTGCAGTAAAAAGCCACCACCAAATTGTAAACAACGAACAAATGTAAACAAACGGCTTATGTCAAAATCGCCCTACTTTTTTCATAAGTGCGATTATAACGGGCCACTCTTCTGCTGTCGTGATCTTGTCTTTTTGGTTCATGAGACGCATGTGTACTCGTCCCTTTTCTTCTCACCCCCTCTCTTCCATGTACGAGCAGAATTGAATTCAATACTTGAACTGTGTAAAAGCACACTATCACCGATACATTTGCTTTGCAATCAACAACAGGCTCATTCTATTGCAACAGACGTGCAAAAGTACACTGCAAGGCAAATTTCATAAGGTTCTTTCCCGTACGCAACGCGGGACCCCGCGGGTACCCTAAATAGCTCAAAAATAAATCCCATACTCAACAAAATGGGTAATAGAGAGCGAAAATTGGAACATATTGGATCGTAGTGTCTTCTTCTTCCTGCCCGAAACAGTCCGGACTTTTTTCCGGGTAAAAAGCATTTTAAAATAATATAAAATTGAAAATAAAAAAATTAAATTGTTCACAATTGTTGTAGTTTGAGAGTGAAAATGAGAATGTGTGTGAGTTGATTTTCGAATTTTTTGGCAATCAGCTGATAGTTAGGGATTCCCTTAAGTTCGTAAAGTCTTAAACCGTGTAAAACGTAAAGTTTACGAGGCTTTTATGGGAACGCCCCTTTTGTGAGCGTCAATATTACGTTACCCGGCGTTTACGTGAGACAATTCTGCCTAGACAATAGCGGCACATTCACACTTTTTGTCTAATACATTCACACTTCTCTCACTTTGATTTTTCAAGACAGTGAATAGGACAGTAAATTGCACAATTCGGTCACGTCTTAGTTAATTTGAGTAAAAGAGGCAAGATAAAATCGCAAAAAATC